CACTAAGACGTTGCTGAAGAGATAAAACGGCCACATGGGGGGGAAAACATGGACACAGACCAGCGGATCTCCGTCTTCTCTCAACTTCTTTTTCCGTTTCTACTCACTCCTCTTCTGTCTCCTCCTTTCCTTCTCCCTCTGCATGAAATAGGATCACAGTTAACTGGAGTAGGACTGTTGGATGAGGGGGAGGGCAGCACGAACACGAACTACAAAGACCATGGCTGTCCAAGCAGAGGAGGGTTCTGGAACGGCAGTACAGAACTAAAGATGGTCAGATTTTGTGCTCAGAAAGCAAAATGTCTTTAGATTTTAATTTCTTGAGCCAGGAGAGCCCCATACCCTACATGAACTTATACTGATCACAGCTGCAACTCCTGTTTGAGCAATTTCAATAATATTTTTCTTCCTGTTTTGATAGTTGGGATCATCGTCATTCTTATCAGTTACTATTTCATTAACCAGTTGTTTTATTTACATCAATGGTAACACATCAAATACTAAAAGGTTTCTACAGTACAGTGTCTAATCGACAACATTAGAGTGTGTGACAAACCACTTATTAAATGTTAATATACTGCTTATAAATGCTTAATGGGGAGGGGGTAAAGTGTTCCCAAATGAACCTTAACCACGGAGTTACCATGCGCAGATATTATAGAAAGACATCATCAGGCCTTTTTGAGAATCATCCACAGCTGAACCCAAGAGTGGCTCTGCAAAATCTAATAGATACAACAGACAATTTAAGTATAACTTTTAAGGTGTTTTAGTAAATATGACTAATGTGTGAAGTCCCTATATCTCAGTCATGTGGATGAGTAAAATTATGTTCAATGTGCATCCTGGTGCGTTTAAGATACTCTCTTCCCTCCTTTCTTGTCACTTCTACTCTGTCTTTCAACAAAATAAAAGCAAAACTTACATCTGATTTTTCTATATTCAAAACCAGCAAATAAGAACATCATATTTTAACTTTTAAAATATTGCCAGATCTGTGTCTGTGCATTCAGCCATACTGTTCTGCAACTGTTGCACACTAAATAAATCATAAATCATTGCAATATTATTATTTTTTAGTGCTGGACAGGCCGTAACTTGCCCAGCAGGCGGGGGAGTCAGAGCAAACAACCTCCAGTGCCATAGTATGTGTGTTCAGAGTTTACAGCAAAGCAAGGGAATGTACAAATCAATGGTGGTAGTTGTGGTCACATTTATCACACATTTGGCTGAGCTAAATTCCACAACAGCCAATATGGAAAGTAACACAGGGACCAGTCAAAATAATGCACTGCAAAGAAAAATGAAACTGTGAGCAGGCAAGTGAGACAAAAATCTAATCAGAAGAAGACAGAGGTCAATGTGGAAAATGTATAGGAACCTTTCTATTGTTTTATCATTTCTGCAGAGCTCCTGTTTATTCAGTGGCTGGTGAATTTGTTTTGCTTCCAATGAGACACAGGGAGAGCAGAGCCAGCCGCAGATCAAATAGAATGTGAAAGAGAGTGTGTGTGTGTTGGTGTGGGTGGGTGGGTGGGTGGGGGCGGGGGCTCGCTTCCTACTTCCATCAAACACCTGCACTGTGGGTGCCAATCAGCTGATATTTTACCCATGTTCCAATGGTTTCAGGAGAGCACCAAGTCGCCTACCAAGGCAAACTGAGCACCTGACCTCTTCTCAGGTCTTTCATTTGGAGCGGCGAGGAATAAATCCCTGGGCAGTTTACTGGGGCTTACAGGTTTCATCTGACACATTCAGATTCACTTTTTATACATAGCTCCGGAAAAAACTCTCATCTTCAAGAGTATTTTCTTCGGACAAAGAAAAAAAACCTGCCTGCGATACAAAGACAAGTGATCATGTGCTGAGTAAATTTGGATAGAAAATGTGTGAAGTTGTCTGACGTCACTGGTACTCCTCCCTTATTTAAAAAAAAAATTCTTAAACATTTTGGTTCATACTTGCCGTCTTTTCACAGGTTACAGGGTCGATACCGCTCGTTTATTAGGGGACGATTTACAATGCATGCTCACACTAAAGATGCAGAAAGACTTCATGTGCAAGACAGTTGAGCAAGAAAAATACAACACCAGCAAATCTGTCACCATTATACCTATTCACATAACAGACTGGCTGTGCTAGATGTTGCAACTAAGTATGGACATCAGCAGAAGAGTCAGCACACTAATTCCTCCGCTCATGCTGTCTCAAATCTGCAGAGAGCCGCTAACTAGTGTTAGCCGCCTGGCTACATGACAGGGACATACTAAATGAAGTGGAATCTTCACCGATAGACCTTTTTCACTGCAGACATTTGACTTGTCATAGAAGGAAAAGCACTGGTGTTGCTAATACATTAACAACAATGACTCTGTTGTCTTCAAGTGTCCCGGTAGGCTATAAGCCATGACAGTGTGAAAGTGAGCCCCCATGAACAATACCAGCATCCTGAAACTGAAGCAGCTAAATGGAATTCAGCCATCATTCTTTTTATTAACCACACCTGTGCTTCTTGTGCCAAAATGTCTTCAAGTTATATCTCATATTTGTTTGATCCACACACAAACAGGAATATAAATACGACTAGCTATGGTTTGACGTGAAGTTCACACCAATTAGGTGTGCCTAATTAGGTATGCCTAGTGTACATGTTTACTTTGAATATAAGGACTTTTCAATTGTTAAAATGTTAAAGTCCCTTTTTGTCAGATTGATGGGCCTATAGAAATGTTGATGATGATGTTACTTTAAATGTTGGCCTTGTAAGGATTTTGAACAGCTGAGAATGTGTGTCCAAAATCTGCTATGTTTATAAAGAAATGCTACAAGAAGTTTAAAAAAAAAAAAGACCTGGGCACCCACAAAGACAGACTCAGAATCAGAATCACACACACACACACACACACACACACACACACTGCTGGTGTGTTCCATATCACACCTGTTCAAAGGCAGTGCTAATTCGGCCTGGTTGGCGTGGAGCAGTGGACCATGAAGCCTCGGTGTCATCGCTTTGGATCAACGGCCAGGCAACGCAAGGATGAGGTCCCGTGATCCGCCGAAAATAAGGTGACATTGGCCAAGCTGCTGGAGCTGGCTAGACAGTCTGCGCCAGGTTGCCCGGCTGGAGGAGGGACCAGTCTGACCTGAGCCAGGCGGCCCAGAGCTTTAAATCTGATCATTCATGGGAGAAGAGCTCCTGCTAATGCTTCCAGCTAATTTAGAGACTGCCGGCGCTGCCAGTGCTTTGCTGAGGGAAGTAGAGCTATTGGCTGGTAAAAAAAAAAAAAAAACTAGCTAGAAGTTGCCAGATGACGTCATGTGATTTGCCGGATGCTGTTCTCTGCTGAGAGACATTGGCGGAGGAAGTATCCACATCTTTTAAGCAAGTGAAAGTACCAATTAATTAGTGTAATAACAGTCCTGCATTCAGAATCTTAAAAGTAGAGTAAAGTAAAAGTAGAGCAGCATACAAGGATTAGCAGCAAAATGACCTTAAAGTATCAAAAGTAAAAGTCCAAATTCTGCCATGTGGCTGATATTATAGCTTACATTCAGCTAGTTTTAACTATTTCATATAAGTAGGTAGTTTAGTCCAGTGGGTCAGGCCAAAATGTCAAAAGAAATTTATATAAATAAAAGTTCATCATATGTTTTTAATGTAAAATTTTAAGATGAAAAGTAGCTAGTAACTATAGCTGTCAAATAAATGTAGCTCAATAAAAAGTACAATAATTCATTCTGAAATTTAGTGGAGTAAAGTACTATAACATGGAAATGTAGGCTATTTAGTTCCTTTAGAAATCTCTAAATGGTATTACAACATGCTGCTCCATCCCATACTTCTTGGTGTGTAGTTTATTCCTGTCCACTGTCTCTTCCCATTGTCCTCCACCCTGTGTACCATCCCTGCATTGTACCCCAGTCTTGGATTGGGCAAAGTAAAAGCATTAGTTCTGTGACAGCAGGTGGAGGAGGAAGCCAGCCTGTACCTCCTGCCACTGTGTCACTGCATTTCATCATCACAGGACTCACACGATTTGCTTCAGGAGCAGACCTTAGTCTCAGTGCAGGAGGTAAAGTCAAGACATTGCTGTTAAAAATGAGCTGACTTCCTGACAGCACTCTTGGAGTTCCACCGACACGGTGTGCACAGGACACGCCATACCTACCAATAACACCAAATGAATTTCCACATACAGTATTAGTTCTGGACACTTATCGTGATCTTAGAGTATGAAGACTAATACAAGACCATGCAGCTGAATAAAGACTATTCCCAACTCCACTGTAGACTTTGTAAAACAGTCTGGTCTCTGTCAACCCAACCTGGCTGTGTGTACACAGGACTCTGTGGAATAAATACTGATTTAGTCAAATAAAGTGAACTGAATTGATTGTAAAGCTCTATGACTGCGACTAACAACTCACCAAAGCCAAAAGCAGAATTTAGCCTAACTCAAATACTTTTGTTTATACACAGTAGCTTGGTTTATGAGGTAATGAGCACTCTTGGGAATTGCTCAAATTTTACAGATCTTGGAATTTAAAAAAGCATATAAATAAAAATAAATATTTCACCATCTAACTCCAGTTTTCTTGAAATCAATATAACAGAAACAAGTATGAGGCATCACTGCATCAAAAGCATACAAAAATGACTGCAAGAAAACAGTGCAGACAGTTCAGGCTGTCTATTAGAGAAAGAAAGTGCACCTCATTTGTTCACCTGTTTTATATAATACATTCTGGGAATCGGTTACAGATCAATAAATATTTTATGCCTTCCCCAATAGCATGGGGAGTGACTGACAGTTAAACCAGGCCTCGTTTTTGCGTTAATCGTTTCAGTCCTGATGTGGTGCTGATGGTCTACAAATAAAACACTTGCACTGCTGAGTGGGTTTCTGCGCCTGACTGTGCGCACTCACGGGGAAACTCTTAAAAGCCCCGGAGAGAGGGCAGAAAATGACCGTCGGTGTACCTTAAATGGCTCTTACCTGTAATTGTCCCACTCCCTTCCCGCACCTTAACGCCCTTTCAAACCATCTGCGGCTGCTGCTACAATCCAGTGGCGTGTCTGTTATCTGGAGACATTTGCGTCCTGGACTGGCGGGAAAACAAAACCCGGGAGTGGTGGCTCCCCCCCCCCCACCCCACCCCTCGGATGAAATCAAACAGCCTTATTAGAATCGGACACGATTATTCTTCTTCCAACGCAGCAGCGTGGGCACATCACCCGCTGCACAGCCGACGCTCTCCTGCAGCCAAAGCTCCCCAGTCTTCTTATTCCGATACAGTACAAAAAGAACCAGCAGCCTGTCCAGACTCGGGCGGATGATACGCTTTAATTGCGTCCTGTTGGTGCGCTTTTGCCAGGTGTCAGTCATGCACAGGAGCACACCACACACTTGAAATTAATGTATTAATTTCTCAAAGTGGAAATCGATCCTGATCAGTCACTTCAGCCTCCAGTCTTTGCTCTGCCGCGTCTCTTCCTAGTCTGACAGCTCAGCTCTGCGCGCACTAACTTTTATGGAGACTCCGGAGCGCACGGCGCACCGCCGCTACCTCTGCTGGTAACGCCTTACAGTATTCTGATTACTGTTCCGGATATGTGTCATATATAGAGATGTGACGTGCTCATTTGAGTGTCACATTGGCCGACCCGAAAACAAGTACGTGTTGCTGTTGTTGCCACCTCCAAATGAACCTCAATGTGATAATTAGTTAGGCTAGTTGTCCCGGAGAGGCTCTTTTTCACAGCACTCCAGGCACGGGGAAGACGCACATCATCACACAGTGACAGACAGAAACACAACAGTAGACAAAACAACATGAAAACGAGACTCGTGGCTCCCTCAGCGAGTCACCCTGTTTAGGGCTGCTATGGCTGCGGGCACCAGGCTTTTGGCGAAGCGAGCCCTTCTGCACCTCAGGGACCTGTACCTGCGCCCGGAATGTGTGTGTGATATCCTGTGCTACTGCAATGCGCGTGTGTGATGGCTTTTACAATTGAGCTCTGAGAGGTTGTTGGTCATCAATCATAATGTAATTACATATGGAAAGGCAGAAGAAGTACAACATAAAGTTACGATATCGCCGAACTAACTGCAAGGCTCATTTGGAAATATGTAGGCTGATGACTCATAAATTGAGTAATTCTGATGTCATTAGAATGAAGACGCACTCCCTAATTTAGGAAGGTTAACGCAAATAAATGAAACGTCTGGCAGTTGGGCCCAATTAGTGAAGAACAACACTGAAACGGCAATTAATATGTTATAAATTGCACCTGGTTCATTGAGCTCAACAGTGGTCATTTCCCACTTAGACATCAGTTCCACCAGAAGCAAAAAACCCTAAAAGACCGAAATAGGATTTTCCATCTCCCACCAGTTCCAACATATCATGAACTGCAGCCACATGTAAAGCTGTAAATAGCCGTTTAAATTGGAAGCTGTGCAGGCCGTTTGATGAACTGTTGAATTGTGGACAACAGCCACTGTTGCGCCTCTCATCAAAACTTGTCCAGTAGTGCCATCATGTGGACGTTTGGTGTATTACATCTTTTGAAGTTCTCCATGCAGAGAAACATGAAACACCGGAGGGAAAACGTGATTAACAGTCAAGTAAATATCCTTCATTTTTGAAGTATAGTCCACACCAACAGAATACAGTTTGATCAAAAAATGTTTATTCCATGGTGAAAACATTCCTGTCACACACGCGCACACACACGCGATTTTCTTTTTTTACAAACAGCAAAATTCCATTGTATAATGCATGTGAGGGGACAAAAAAATAATAAAAATCATAAAAGTGACTTAAGCACAAAGTGATTTTTTTTTGCAGTTCATTCAGAAATAAAAAGGGAACACTTAGAAAGTGCTCTCAGCTCGCTCCATCAGGAAAATCTGTTTACTTCAGGAAAACGTCATCCTAAGGCAATCTTACGGGAGACCACATTTCACATCCATCTGTGTGGGACTGATACAAGCGCACATCCACGTGCTCCAGATTCAACAACGATTGTTCAGGCTGCTTCCGAAAGGCATCAGCGGCTGTAGTAGTAGTAAGTAGTAAGTAGTTCATGGACTCATCCCCTCCCCCAAGATTTCCTCAGCATTCCTCTTTGATGTAGATTTGTTCGTCTGTGTCGGACTCCAGGTGCTCCAGCCGGTCCGTCTGCCCGTTCATTATCTCATCGGGAGTTTTCATAAACCTGGTGAACGTGACGCAGACAAGGAAACAAGTTATGGGCACTTATGTTTTTAGGGTTTCTACTATGTTTAACCAGTAACCCACAGGAAGTGGGTTAAATTTTTAGAATAATTTTTTTAAATGAATAGCCTCACCATTTTTTTTTTCTTCAAAAAGGTGTCTGTAAGTTATAAAGACAAGATATACCTGAATAGAAGTCTTTGTCCAGGCTCTTTCCGGATAATGTTCAGTTTGTAGTAGTGTCTCAGTGCTCGTGACATCTTCTCGTAGGTCATATTGGTCCTGTTCTGTAAGAGGCAAGAGGAAAAGTGACATAATAATAATAATATTATTATTATTCATAGTTTGGTCATTAGTCCACAAAAAGCTGAAAAAACATCCGACATACAATTTATCACCTCATTTTATGGCAAACGTGTTAGCAAACAGACATCCTGCAGACAGTTTGTTGGCCGTAAAACCATAACAATGAACGAAAAGAGGCTAAATGATTAAGGGCAATGCTAAACCTGCAGTAACTGATGATGTTTTTGCCACTCAGGGGCAGCGGAAACGCTGCAAACACAGCTATCACCTTGTTAAGTTGACATAGATAGCATGTTAGCAAACAGCTGCTTATTTACACATTCAGCAGAGACGGAACAACATTCATTTGGAGTCCGTTTTCTGACCACCAGATGAATGTCAGGATAACACACTACTCTCCTTTTTAGCTCTGTTTTGTCTCCACCAGCTCCTGAAAGCTCCTAAAAGCTCCACCATGTTCACCAGCGAGTCTCTTCCTTGCTCTTTGTCAGTTTCTACATTGGGTTTATTAGAGCTTTTTATTGCTGAAAACGGCTGCCTGCTGCAGCTGGTAACAAGGTTGTTGAGAGCGTCAGAGTTTGAGGGCCGTAAAATCAAAACAATGCGCTAAAAAAACCCATCTAAATCTAAAAAAAAAGTTAAAGGTGACGTGCAGAGTTAGGTGCCATTTGTCACTATCACTATGAGCAACAGATTTCACATTTCGTGTCATCTTTTGACTCACTGTTGAAAAAAATATTGATGAGTGCAGCTGTAAACTGTTTCTAGAAGTAGCAATGATGGTCTCTTCTCTTGCCTGGATGTGTGATGTCCCTGCACAATGAGTCACCCGCCGGCCGGATCAAAGACAACAATAACGCAACAACTGGAACCCGCTCAGTGCGTGCTTACCTTGTGGTTTCCCCACAACCTGGCCAGGCCATTGGGGTCCATGATGCGGAAGACTTTGCTCTCTGGATCCTCCCAGCGGATGTAGTTTTCGTACCTGCTGTCTGACAGGAGTTGGTAGACATAGTCCCAGAGCAGCCTGCAGTCTGCAAGGACACAACAGGAAACACGGGGTGAGTGTGTATTAGGTTAAATTTTCTTTTAGGCGTGATGCTTTGGGTCGCACACTACCAAAGGGACAGACAAGCAACTAATTTCCTGAAGATGCCGCCTCGTGCAGCTCCAACTTTTAACCTTGTGAGGGCTAAATCTTACCTGCTATCCGTCCGATGGGTATTTGTTGCTCCTCTGGAGGAGACACGGGCATGATGACCTGGTTCCGGTAAAGCACCTCCTCCTGCTGCTGCAGTAGGTGCTGCTGCTGCTGCTGCTGCTGCTGCTGGGAGAGTGATATTTGATGGTGGTGGGTGTGGACCTTCCCCTCGCGCCCGTTCTCGAGTGTCACCTGAGAGGGGGGTCCGCCACGGCTGTGCCTGAAGTCCATGGCGGCACCCCCGCCGCTCCTGCTCGGGCTGAGGAGCAGGGGGTTCATGATGGCGCTGGGCATGAGCTGGATGACGCGAGGAGGGCCCGCCTCCTGGCCCCCAGGGCTGCCCGGACATGGGGCTTCCCGGGGCGTCGCACAGCGGCCGTTGGGTGCAGCCGGAGACACCGACAGAGGGTACATTTCCTCGGGCAGGTGGTGGTTGCTGTCGGGCAGCTGGGAGAAGGTCTGGAGGGGGTCCTCATTGGCTTGGCGGGGGTGGTTTGGCTCCGGAGGGGATCGCCTGGTGGTTGGATGATGGGGGGAGCGGGAGCGGTGCCGCAGCTCAATGGTTGGTGGATGCTGGGGGAGTGGCTCCGTACCACGTGGTGCCCGCCGTACCGTTTCTGGGGTTACAAAAGATACAATGTGATAAATATCTGCAGCACAAATTTATATCAAAATACAGCTAAAATAATAAATCAGCTAGTAGAAAACCCACATTTGATGGTTCCAACTTCTCAAACATTGTAATCTGCCACTTCAATTTGTCTTGCGTCACATTAAAAGGAATATTTTTTGGTTTTATCAGACAGAAAAAAAATCAGATGCCGCCCTCGGTTCTAGGAACGCGTGATGGGCATGTTTCAGTCTTTTCTGACTCAGCGATAAATCATCATAAATCATTCATTTAATTACTTAGAACAGAGAACAAATTATCAGCGTGTCTGTGTGCTAGCAATCCAGCGATGTTAGCAAAGCATTTGGGTGTATACCATTTTCTGTGTTTGCCATGCAGGCGGTGCCAACCATACACAGATATTGGCTATCACTAGTACACTGATAACAGAGCGACAGCACAAGACCGTGACCAACTCTGGCCTCAAAAATGACCACAGAAGTGAATCAACACCTCTCTGATAATGACAACTCAAATTCAGTATTATGAGCTTAATAAAGATAAGACTCATGTCAGGACTGCAGTGCTGGCTTCCATTAAAATCTAATCTAGGAAGCTGTGATTATTTTGTCATGTACACATATCGAGCCTGTCTCTACAGAAAAGGCAATACAAATACAACAACCTAACCAGAAAGTTTGAGTAACAGAGCATGAAATTAAGTCGTGTATTGTACACAGTCATTTGGCTATTTTCTAAATTGTTCTATAATTTGTCCCTACTGCCACTAAGGTGCTTATTACGGTTAGTTCCTGGTACACTGGCTTCACACAGAGAAGACCACTAGGTGTCACCAATATTCTACAGTTATTATTTTTGATAAGCTTCTATGCTGGGAGAGGTTGGAACTTTTCGCTTCTTCCTTCATCCAACATCTACAAAGTGGCATTCAAAACTAGGAATACAGCAGCAACAAATACCAGCGAACCAATCACTGCAGTTATTCACTAGATGGGTGTGAGGCATGTTGTCCTGCAGCTTGTAAAAATAAGGCAGCATTTCCTTGTGGAACAGGTTTTACTGTCAACATGCGATGTTCTGGTGATTGTTGTTGTGTCACATTTCCTCAGATCAGAGCCAGAAAACAGTCTCAGGTATTTCGCTGAACTTTATCATTACTTCCTTGGTAACAACAAACACGGGTGCCCGGGTGAAGACGTCTGAGCTTGTACGCACACAAAGATCAGCTTAAATGATCTGCATGTTTCATTCATGGCTTGTCTGTGATTTGTTCTTTTACTCACCTCTTTTACTTTTTAAAGAAAATAAAGTTTTTGTAATTTCACTCTAAGGGCTTTGAAAATGACCCCGATACAATTCCTATGGACATTTGTAGAAACTGTTCAGCTAGATCAGACATTTCTCTCAGGTAAACAGTATATTTACTGTGAACCACACACACAGCTGTCATTAGCTTCAGCTCCATTTTTTGCTACATGTAATTATGACCTTTATTTTTTATTTTATTTTTTTCAGGAAAAGACTTAGAGACTATCACCATAATATTTTCTAGTTTGATCATTTCATGAAAATTTTGGTGTAAATATTTGAATGTAGTTTGACACTTGTGTACGTGTGCAGGTTGATTAGGAGTCATTCAAAACACTCCTTATTTTAGATCTCTCCTCCTACTCTGACACGGCTGCTAGATACAGCTCATAGTCTTACAGAAGCTGGGTGAGGAATCGCTCATGAAGTTTTTTTAAGTCATTCTTGTGTTTGGAATTAGTTATTTTGAGCAAAACTGTGAAGACTGCACACATTTATCCTCAACAAAATTACATCATTTTTGACACACAGAGGAATGCAGGTCCCAAAAAACACCAAAAAAAACATACGCATGTAAGAGTTGCGGTACAGTAATCAAGTGAAGGCCTATTGAATTCCAGGGCTGAAAATGTTTGAAATGTGCGCATTAAAAGAAGAAAATACAGTTTATCGGACTGACCTTCAAGCTTCAGGTGCTGCACAGCGCTTTCAGGCAGCGAGTGGAAGGAGTTCCCAGGGAAGTAGGCAGACGGGTAAAACACATGGGGCTTCCTCTGCTTCAGGATGTGCTGCAGCAGCTCATACAAGACGTCCCCTGTAGAGATGCAAAGGTCAGAGGTCATAATACCTCTCCTTGTAGCATTTCACGCCTGCATAAAATAGGAAGCTAGAATCACAGAATCATGTTCCCCCTTCTACTTAGCTTTCCAGGCAGCAGGGAGCTTGAGCAATAATGGAAGGGAAACCGAGGAGTCAGACGCCACGTTCATCGGGACTTTTTTTTGTTAGCAGAAAACATTTCCTAGATATTCAACACCCTAACCTGACGACCCAGTGTGTTTGTTGACACTGTGGGTCTATATGACCCTGGTATTCTCCATTAAGTGGTTATACAGTGGTGTTGACACCAGGCACAAAGCCTGAGCAGGAAGTTCACCGAATGATTAACAGCTGTTTGTTTTGCCTCGACACCGACAACCGTGGCCCCTCTTCCGCCATCACAAAGCATTTACATGGTTAACAAATAAGTAGAGTGGATGTGATTTTAACAAGCACTAACATCCCACATCACCTCAGAGATCTTTTTAAAGGCTTAGCATAACCAGGAAACGATTCTCATAAAGGAAGTGATGATGAACACATGCACGCAAACAAACACACATACCCCCCTTTCAGTTCTCACTTTCTGGTCCTGTGGCATTGAGGGGAAAATTCCTGCTTCCTGGTGCATTAAAGTTTGCTTTGATTCTGGATGTAAAATGATGATGTTCAACGCAAGAGCTTCACATTTAGTTAAAATCTGCATGCACAATAATATGTTGGTTATTATGAATCACATCTACTGGGAAATGAAACAGGTGAAAGTGTCATCTTACCGTTAGTCGTAACTGATTTTTCAACACTTTTTGGCTTTATAGTTTTCCCATTAAACAAGTTCAGGTCAAAACATGTAGCTGAAATGTGGCTTAACAAGCTGTCTGGCTAATTATTGGAAATGAGTTTAAGACATTCCAGGAAATAAGGTATGATTATAAGAACTTCTACGAAAGGAAAATGTGGCATACAGCAGAGACTGATGGGAACTATACCCTCAAACGAGGAAATAGACACATCACAAGCCAAAAGCTACGCTCTGGTTCCTAAAATAAAGTTTTCACTGTCACTGACACACAGGGCCAAAACAACTACCAGTATTGTATTGGAATCCATCACTGACGGCTTTATCTCTTGACATTATGTTGTTGTTTTTACAAAAAAGAAATGTCATCAAACATCTAAAGTTGCTGATACATAAAACCATTTTACAACAAAAAGATCTCAGTGTCACATGGAGATGACTTTGACCAACTAATGAAACCAGCGAACATGAATCACATTTTCTAAATGTCCTTTCTACCTCTATTTCTTCACAGGATGTGAAAGTTTTTGCAGAGTTTACATGGAAACAACCTGATACAAGCCTGACAACAGCTGTCAGCTGGACCACATCTCTACATAATTCCTCAACATTGGGACACATCGGGGTCGCTGATTGTAGGAAATACATACTGAAATATATACTGAACTGGACAGGGCAAGTTTGACTTACTTTCTGTTCGATCTACAGACGATTTGTAATGACTTATTCATTTAACCAATGTTTAAATCAAATGCATACATAAATGCTGAAATAAATAAATAGTGTTATTTAATATATAATATAGTGTTAAATAAAATAGTACGTAAAGAAAAACTGAATTAATGATATCTTGCATTATCAAATAATATATAAATAAATGTACAAGGCAAAATCAATCTTGTGACCAATCATAATTTACAGTGAAGTTAGTTTCATTAATATAAAAACACCCCGTTAATTAAATTTAAAAAAATACATGAAGTAGAAATGTAGTAATACATAAATGTAGATTTGTAGTAACAGATTATACATTATTTCCTGATAAGTAAGTACATTTATTTATTATGTTACATTATTTATCATTTAATTATTCATACTTTCAGTTCAGCTTTCATTTGTTTATTCTTTTCTTTATCAATTCTTTTTTTTGTATTCATTTCAGCATTTATTTATTTTATTCATTGTTAGTCCAATTCCCACACTTTACTGGACCTAATATGACCTGAAATTAGACATTTTCCATGATGTGGCGGGTTTACCCCATGTCTTATCTTTATATTTCAAAATGCAGTTCACTCATTTCATCCCACTCTTATGACCATCATCCTGAATCACACCACAGCACTGACTTTATCCCTGACTGATTATGTGTACTATAAAATCTCCTGGAGACACTATCAAACATTGAATCCTTTTTCATTTACAGTGGAAAAAAGAAAAAAAAGAACCAAAAATCTGCAAAGGAGAACACTTTTTTTTGCTTTAATTTTGTGCGCCTGGCCGCTGGCGTTGCCGGGGCAACAGTTGAAGTTGGTTTGGTACTTCCTGATCAACCGTCTCCTACTTCCTCCCCCGGCAGCCTCACTGTGGCAGCTGCCTCCCTCCACTGTCGCCTGACACTGCTGCCTTCCCTCCTCTGCTCCAGCTGACGCTATTGATTTTTAAAGGGTGTAGTTTTGCTGTAAACACATCGATTTTAGAGCTGCACTGGCGCAAATAAGATCTAATATTGGTCTAAACCACAAAGCATAACAGCTGATAAAGGTGTTTGCCCCAATTAAATTTTGTTGCAAGACTATATATAGTCATGGATGATGATTTATCAAGTGTTTCACTTTTCTGTGTCAACTAGCCATTTAAAATTTCATTTAGCCCCATAAGTCATTTTGATGACAGCAGGTGTCACTTTTTTTCCCTTAGAAAAGGAACTTCTGTGTATAATTGCACCAATTTTCCATGATTTTTCTGCAACTAGTCAGGGTGTTTCCATGATCTAAAACTGTCCTTCCTAGTTAGTAAATCTTGTTTTCCAGTCTGGGTCATGACCCAGTTGGGCAAAAAATAAAAAAAATAAAAATAAAGACATCTAATGAAATCAATTCAAGTGAGTCATTTGTACAATTATACACCAGTTTCCCCAGCCTGGCATACACATCTAATATCTCCAAGAAATGTAGAGGTGGAAAGAAGACGAGTACCGGAGTGAGGGGATCGGTAGCGGAAGTCCTCTTTGGTGAGCAGCAGCAGAGCTTTGCCGTTCATCTGGAAGGAGCCGCTGGTGATTGGCCGCAGGGCAAACTCCTTCTCGGCCCATCGCAGCCACTGGGCCACGTCCTCCCTGCTCCAAAACACTGGCTGCAAACCTGGAGGTGGAAGGATTCGACACCAGAGTTTGGTAAAGAAGCAACAAAAGTGGAGGTGAAGAGGAAAGGACGGAAGAAAAGAACGATGAGCTCAGTGAAGAAGAGGCAGTAGGAGGGGGGTTTGGGGATGAGGAAGGAATTGAGAAAGAACGAAAGGCAGAAGGAGGGGAGGGTGTAGAGGGAGAGGGGTAGGGAAGAAAGGAGGAGGGGAAGGGGGAGAGAGGAAGGAAGGAGGCAGAGGCAGTAAAAAGGATATTGAGGAAGTGGAGATAAAAGCCAAAAGGAGGGAGTGATTACGGGAACGGCAGCAGAGATAAAGAAAAAAAAGATGAAGGAGGAGACAGAGTCAGAAAGGGAGAGGAGGTTAGAATGAAAGATTAAAAGATGATAGGTTAAGAGAAGAATACAGAATGAATCACAAGAATAAAAAAGAAGGATGAGGGAGTTATATGAGAAAGACAGTCAGACTGTTATTTTATGTGATCTGCTATGATCTGTGCTGTTCTTTGCTCTCTGAACTCCAGACAGGCACATCAGAGGACGGACAGTTTATTAGTTTTTGTATAAATGGATAAGGACACAGTGAGGGAAAGAGAGCAGAGGAAACAGCAACCACAGTATTTCGTTTTTCCCCCTTCCCTCACATGCTGAAATGTTTCTTTCACTGCCGTGGGAACAGGAGTGCAAAACATCTGCACTGATGACCAACAAGCATTTAAAGGCAACAGGGAAAGAATAAAGAAGACTGAACATGATAAAAAAAAAAATCTGAACAAAAGCTCACTTTTATCTGAATAATGTGAGTGAATTTTAGTAGTAAAAACATTTCTTGGATTTGATTATAAGTTTGCCCCTAAATAATTAGTGAGTTTGTTTTTTTGGGGGGCACCTGACAACATAAGCAAGCTAGCTGAATGCCAAAGATGAAACCTGGACAAAATATAAAATAATAACTCAAACAGCGCTAAAAAACGCCCCAAAGTTTATTTAGAAGGACAAATTTCAACCTTAAATTTTCTACTTAAAAAGGTAAGCCACCCACCTCTTTGCCCAAATTAGCTCATTAAAGTTAGCTTAATAGTTAAACTAAATAAGCTAAGATTTATTTTAGCTGATACCAGGACGCTAGGCTGCATTATATTAGCTTCCTCCTTTACAGTAGTGCTATTTATAGTTACAATTAAATTTGAGATTATTTCTGAAATGTTCTCAAACTCTGACATAACACGTTGTATATTTTTAGCAATACACAAAATGTTTTACTCTGATCCTGGTTAACGCAGATACTGCAATCTCATATGATTGTGCATTCTTTGTGTAACCCAATGATACACCGTATGACTCAGACTCACCTCCTCTCTTTCACATGCGCGCACACACACACACACACACAAAAAAACAGTGTATAGCTCCGATCAAAATGTCCATGACACCCACGCGGAGCATAACTACTCATTTCTTACATTTCACTTATCGCTCAGCCTCAAACACTTCCTCTGGGAGTCGGACAGCTGTTATCTTTGGCCGCCAATGTCACTGTCACACAAGTAATAGGAACCTTGTGCTTGCTTTCAGGCCTCTCCCATTTCACCCCCACTCCCCTCACCCCACCTGTCAAACAGAGGAAGTTTTCACAGAGCAATCAATATAAAATGAAACCCTGTCTAGATTGTCAGATTCCCATTTCTTCGCTTCCCTTCTAGTCCTCTGTATTCAGATAGTGGCAAGAGCATTGCCGATAAGCCCGGGAAGGCCTTGGTTATCTGAAGCACAGCTTACAGTCTGTCAAGTTCTGACCCTCAGCTTGTCAACAGACATCCCAAGAAAGTGTCAGGGAATATGGAATCCAGGTGTTTCACAACCACAGGAGTTAGTGGTGGGCAGATAAGGAACTATATTTCTTCTTTTTTGTTTATACTGGGTTCCAGCGTTCTACTCTGGAATTGGCTTCACTAGAAATCATGTCTAGACTGCATTACATCTAGCCTTAAGTATGTTTAACATAATGTATGTAAAAGTGCTTGTTTTTAATCCATATTTCCAAACTATTTATACTTTCATAATTAAAGCAGTATTGGTAACTTTAAAAATCAGTGGTAAGAGAATTATTTGAAATATTCCTAGAAAACTAAAATTGTTTTTTTTAACTTAAAATATATAGCTTCTACAAGTGACCTTCTGTTTAGATTTAACTTGACTATATTACAGGAATAAATCTAGGATATACTGCAATGATCCTATCTAACTACATCACAGACTTTCTATGAATTTGGAATCAAGCTGCCATCTGCACTGCATGCACCAGCTGTACATTCGTCTCTCGTGGCTGACTTGCGAGCGCAGCAAAGCCGAGGCGGGCAGCAGTGCAGCCAGGGTCGCGAGGTCATGGCTGCGGTATGCTCTCTCCAGGGCCGGAGAGAGGCGCAGCTTTGCCAAAACCCCTCCGAGATCCGGTCTGACGGCCTCAGCCATCTGCACAGAGCCCAAAGGAGGAAGCATCAAGGGGAGCAGAAGGGAGGAGGAGGAGGAAGAAGGGGGCCCAAATAAACGTGTCCCACAACGCACTTTGGCAGGAAGCAATCCAGCACGGGCTCCGTTTCAGCACAGGAAACTTCCTGCGGTAAGGTTAGAGAGTGACGCCAGGAGGTTTATTATCAGACAGAAGCGAGAAAAGGAAGAGTGGAAACAGAAAGGAAAGAGTGAACAGAGCAGCTGAGGATAGTGTGATGACTGGGGAAGTAGGCTCATGAGGTAAAATAGCAGGAACAAGAGGACTTAACAAAGATGCAAAAAAAGGAAGTAAAGGCAAATGGGAAGGGAAACAGATACAGATACTAAGCCGGTACTGAAACAAAGTTCATGGAATGGGACGCCAGCCCTGAATTCCTGCTCATTCTTTTGACTACTCATACCTATTTTGGGGTGTAGCCAATGCATGAAGCGAAGCCTGCAAGCTAGTTCAGGTAGTCAATTCCAGTCTAATTCCAACATACATCCAACGCACCCTTCGATTATGATGGTGTACGTAAGCAGTCAGTGCTCTGGCTGCTGCCACACCGCTCACCTGAAACCTATGCTGTTACTGCTGCAGCAAGTCTAAAACCACTCCAGCATCCACCTGTGGGTCTACTTTCCCTTACCGCCCCGGGGGATGCCAAGTATTGATGCTGTACTCACACAATTTATTCCAAGTGAGCTGGCTGTCCTATGGTTCTGTGGTAATAGCCGGTTCTAAATTAGAACTCCATCACAGAAATTTCTAAGAACTTTTGCGATTCCTGAAAGCAGTCTGATGTCTGTGGTGTGAGGTTTCAGCTTTTTTTGTTGTTGATGGCCTGAAAATTTGAGTCCAAGTCACATCACAAGTCCACATTTTTGCAACTCAGAGCTATAGACTCGAGTCCAAGTCCCGTGCTTTGCCTGGAATCAAAGTTCTTCGTACTTCGCTTACGAGTCAAGTCAAGACAGTCAAGTATCAAGGCAGAAGTCACTCACAAGTCCTGATTTTCGTGCCTCAAGTCTGACTCAAATCCAAGCCTCAAGTCTACAGCTTTGCCTGAAATCAAGTTCTTTGTACTTTGCTTATGTAAATCACAAATCAAATGTAACCACATTTATTTTGTGCAAGCAAAGGCATGTGTCTAAGGTACTTATTGGTATTTATTAAAGCATGGTATAAAAACAAATCATTAGAATAATTTGCAGAATACAAATCTAAATCAGAATGGATCTTTCCATTAATATTTAACTATGTACCCATATCTAAGATGAACTGGTATTGAAGTTAAATGGTCAAGTGAAACAACAAAAACCAAAGGGTTCAGCTGTATTACTGTACCTACCAATCTGTGTCTTTGCAACCAGTTTCAATTATAGAATCTTCAGGTTTTGAATGAGATCATGCGTCTCTCCAAGCACAGATCAAGTCACTAATTTTTTCTCTCCCCAGTGACGCGTCCTTCATGCGATCCATGCTCAGCTGCCAAAACCATGACGATAGGTGTAGGTGAATCAGGAAAATGGACGCAAAGGTCATTTCTGATTTCAGTTTCAAAACCTGAGTCACATTCATGTTGTGAGTTTCTGAATCTTTATTTGTATCGTGCATCTCATATCCATGTGATCTAGGCAGGAACTGATTCTAAAGATGATGGGAAACTTTCTTTTGCAGTGCATCCAGTGACACACACACACACCCTTTGCTTACAGAGAGGTGGAAATGAAAATGGAAGGCATGGCCAAGGAGTGAGAGGTGAACAGAGAGCCCCTTCGACACTCCGTTCCTTCAACACATTCACACACTTCCTTGAGCTGATAAATTTGTCCTCTCTGGTTGTTTTTTGTCAGAGAATCTGTTACAGATTCGTTGCAGGTTACAGGAAGAAAATCAATTTCAGTCTTCCTTGTCATCAGTCTCTGCCTTTGTTGAATGCATCTCAGGTTTACAGCGTTCATGAGAGCGTATAAATATATGTGTGTGTGCGTGTGTGTTTACATTGAATAAAACCCTCAAGCACGACAGCAGCAGGATCCCAAGCCCTTGACTAAACCGTGGGCTCCTAATCCTCTCTGATGACACATAATTTTCACTCTGTGGTTTCTCAGGCCCCCGCTCTTGCTCAGTCACACACATACACACACACCACAGAGCACACGAGTTGCCACGGCAACTCATAAGCGCTTGGGATGAATGAAGGGAAGAGGAGGATGAGATCACTGGTATCTTGTTTCGTTGTTGCGGTACAGAAGCCCTCAACTTCCCGTCGCAGCCAGACGAGTTAATGAGGTCCGTCCTGCTGTGAAGCTTAAAAGGTCCCGTCCAGAATCCCAGTTTAGCTCCCACCATCACCACTGCATACGGCTGCTTATGTTTCTCTCGCCCTGCTGAAAACTGCAACAATGTCAGCCTCTTTATACTTGGATGAAAATGGCATCTAACTTAACCCCACATCTGGTGGCCATTTTAAAAGGTTCATAAGTTTTGGGCAAACATTGTGCTG